TGTTTACACTGTAAAACCTGATGAGTTAGTTCAACTGAAACTGTTTGAGTAAATCGCCTTAAACTATTTAAGTTTATTAACTCAAACAGCTTAAGCATGAAAAGATGAAAGATGTTTGATTCAAGTAGAAGCCACTCAAGTATTAAGTTGATGCAAAATTGGTAAATTAAGTTAATTGTACTAATTCCATTCAGTTAATTGAAGTCACTCTCATATGCAGCAATTCTTCAAACCTAATTAAAATGTGTGAACAGAATTTTTCTGAATTAAATCACTTAAATGCATCGTCTTTATACAACATTGTAAATCCTGACAACACTCATTCACATGAATTAAAACCAATTATACCAAGGTTTAGGTGATACTCGCTTCTGATTGGCTGCTGGGTGTCCATTAATTCCTGATGTAGTTACTAAGTAGTTGACTTGGAATCTCATTAGCTCTTTGTCTCGTAGTATAACATAGATGTTTCTATTACATTAGAACATTACGGGATGGTCATGATTATAGATATTAGGAAGGACCTCAGTTGTTACCAGGGGAACAGAGTTATAGCTTGTTAAGAATTTTAGATTTTGATTGAAGTGTGACCATGTAAAGTGGAATAATGCCCTTCGAGGTGTCCATTATCAGGAGTTAATGGACTTCGTGGACCTCCGCTGTGCGACGGACGCTTCCATGTCGTCCATTAATTCCTGATAATGGACACCTCATCATCCCTTACTTAACTTGTAATGAGTTGTCAGGTTTTACAGTGTGTGTGTGTGTGTGTGTGTGTGTGTAAAAAGTGAAGGTAAACTCGTTTGGGCTTTGGCTGTGCCGGCTAGATAACCCTTCTCCCGATAACACCAGCAGGACAGTGACAGAACCACCCACAGTCGTGCTCTCAAGGCTTTTTCAAAGATTTTCTTTCATTCCTTGTTTTCCACTCTTTTCAGATAAAGGAGTCCCCACAGCCACCCCCTCTACCCAGTCTCCATTGGTGACGCCAGGGAGCACAAAGGAAAGCAGCCCCAAAGGCAAAAGCTCCAGTGCGTTGGCTGGAGGTTTGCTACAGTCAGTGCTGACTCAAAAAGGACGACTCGTCTCCCAGAAAGGGGACATCCTCCCCTCCGCTCTGCCCCAGAACCTGCTCCCTCTTCTGGGCAGAGGACTCAGCGTCAGCTCCCTCCCTGGGAGTCATTCCCTGGAGCATCAAAGCGGGGGATTACTGAGGAGGGTAAAACCCCCAGCATCAGCTGCAGTGTCAGGCCGAGGCAGTGATCCAACTGAGCCTCTGCCCACAGACACACACTCCCAGCTGCCTCATACGCAGACACACACCCCCGAGCAGGAGGCTGAGATCACCACTGTGGGCACGATGCTGGATGTGGACACAGAGACAGGAACACCTGCCTCAGGTATGAGTTGTAATCATTTAGTTGGAAATATGCACACTCAGTCAACATCTAACATGGTGGAAAGTAATTACACTGTAAAACCCAAGTTAGCTCAACTCAAGCTGTTTAAGCATGGTATATATTTGATCTGAGTAGAAGTAACTCAAATATTTATTGTTAAGGTAAATTGGGTAAGTTTTTTGTCCATTCAGTTAATTGAAGTTATGCAACATTTCTCCAAACTTATTTAAAATGTGTGAACAGAATTTATCTGAATAAAGTCACTTAAATCTTTGTTATGCAAATGTTAAATTTACTTAGTTTTCTTCCACTAAAGCAAATTATTACATTACCTGTGAAAACAGCTAGTTTCTACAGTAGCCCAGAACGGACAAACCAAACACTGGCTCTAGATAGGGACTTTTGTGTTTTTCTCATTCTCATTCCTTGGTCGTCAAATACAGACGCCAGCGGTGTTCAGTTAGTTGCAACTTCGTTCACACTCTTCCTTTAATTTGTAAACATAGTTTTGATGTTGTAGCTGGTTCAGGTGAAGCTAGTTTTAACTACTTCTTAATAACTACAACACTAACGGCCATTTGAGGCTGACTGTGTCCATTTCTTGATATCTAAAATACAATTAAAAAGGGAACCCATTGGCCCAGAGTCATCATGTAAAGTTGTTGTCAGCATAGCTATGGAAACTGATGCCTCCTGATGACGTTTCCAAGGTTAAAAAGGGCAGGACCTTACTTTGTTGTTAAGATAAGATTTAAACCAATTAAAAACAGCACCAGAGAGGCCAACCAGACTGTGAAGTCTAGTTAAATGTATTGAGTATGGGGGGAAGTCACAGAGACTATTTAATTATACAGTCTATGATTTCAACTAGACTTTGTCTGTAACAATTTATTATATTTTAGAACATAACTGGCCAGCAGCTTCTCTGCAAGGCCAGATCCATACTGAACTGTACAAACCACCACGAGTACAAAGGTTGAAGTGCAATAGGAGTAAAAACTCCTTGGTTCCTTGTGCAATAACTCAGTTTGCACATGAAATTAAATTTATTTAGCATCTTACACGTGACATTTTTAGTGTTGTTGTTGTTGTGTTATGGATTATTGTGTATTGTATGTACAGGGTTTTTTTTGGGTTTGTTTGTGCCCCTGAATGCAACTCAAATTTCCCATCTGGGATAATAAAGTGACTGAACTGAATCTTATGTATCTGAAAGCTGAAGTGGAGTGTACAATATTACCCTCTGAAGTGCAATAGTGAGATAGCACATGCATACCTCATTGTACTTAAGTTTGAATAAATGTGCCCACTCTCATTCTGATTGCAGAACTTGTACTGGGGATGTAGTATTTTTACACTGTGGTACCACCAGCATCTGAATACTTCACCCACGACTGATCTTACAAAAGTCTTTAGAGGAACGTGATTATTTATTTCAAGTTGCTGTTAACAGCCACGAGTGCTCGCTGTGCCTTGTGCGCACTCTGCAGCCATTTTGATCCCTGTAATTTCTGTCATTAATTATACACAGCAGGGACCTACAATGAGTTTCCAGTCAGGGTCACAGGGATTACAAAGCAGAGCAAAAACAATAAGGCCAGTGCATGCAAAATAAACTGTTCTCTCTCCTCAGCTGTGTCGAGCTGCATGGTGAATTTCTCAGACCCAGAGGGATACATAGACTCGTCTGATGACCCCCCTCTCCCCGACGGCGCCTTCTTACACTGCACCTACACAGTGACAGTGTACACCGGCTACGGAGTGGAGCTGCAGGTACAGAAACACACACATCTACACTGCGGTTGGTCATCGGTTGTCATGCTGGATATGAGTTCTATGTTTATGTCTGTTGTGACCATGAGAATCTGATCCCAGGTTGAACTCTGCCTCCTAGTGGCGGCTGTTGGCACTGATCTCTCCCTCCCTCTCTCTAAAATACCATTTCAAATGGCTTTTTTGGCACAACCACAGGTGCCTTAAATCTGGCATAATAAAAACCATTAGTTCATAAAAAAGCTTGAACTTATCATTTACTACTATACTATACTTATTATCTTTCTCCCTTTTACTGGGATTTACATGTGTAAACTTGTATTTATGGCAAGAAAAACTTTTTTCAGTTTTATCCACTTAAAAGTTTTGTAAAAAATTCTAATTACTGCGAAATCTATTGTATTTAGTGGTCGTTAAGTGGTGGTAATCAGTCCACTGAATTACTTTTGAGAGTGTACTACAGAAAAGAAACCAGTTGTTTATCAGTTACAAAGCTCAAGTAATTTGTACTGTGTATTTAGAGCCAGATAACAATGCAGTTTGCTCTGTGCTTTTGTTTGTTTTTCATCAGGTGATAAATAGGTAATTTTATAACTCTTTAACTGTTTTGTAATTTGATTGAGTTTAACAGCTCCTGAGGTCTGTCAATAGAGCAGGTTTGTGGTAATTACAGACTAACATACTATTCCTACTAAATATGACATTACTTTGAGTACGTAGTTTGTTAAACTGCATAGTGAATTTTAGGAGAAATTTGCGATGTACTAGATTAGCAAGAAAGTGTATGCGCATGATTATGATTGATGTTGAATCAAAAATGTCCCCTAGCTTTTCTGGAAGGACCCGACCCCTAGGTTGGGAACCAGTAGACTAAATTGGAGCAGCTCCAACAGTAAAATGCTGCTCTGACCTTGATGCATCAGTATTAACTATCTAATAATGTCACATAGAACTTTTACTGCTTCAGTGTCATGCTGCCTACTGTGCTTAGATTATAAAAAATATTTATATAAATTAATTAGGGCTCCTACATATTTAAATAACTTATTGTAACTCACAAAATTAGACATAAACAGCGATTTCTTATTTTAAATGATTATTTTCTGCTACACTGACTGAGTTTACACTCACAGTTGGAACATTGTTAAAGAAACAAAAAAAAGGGAAAAAGAGCAAATGCATGTATGAAATAAGTATTTTTAAAACACACATACATAGTGTATACTGTACTTGTGAAGACCCTCATTGACACAATGCATTCCCTAGTAACCTTCATACCTAATCCCAACTGTAACCCTACAATAAAACTAATTCAAATTTTAACCTTAAAACAGTCCCTTGACGTATTGAGGACCAGTTAAAATGACCTCACAATGCAGCAATGTTCTCACTACAATGGTTTAAACCAGGGTCCTCACAAAGATAGCAGTACAAGCACTCACACACACACTCACAGAGAGAGAGAATTTAATTTTGGTTCACTGGGACTGACAGTTTTATTGGTACGGCGCACAGATCTCATATATTACCAGATTTACTGACAAAATGAATTCCGTTTCTCGCTAATGTTTGACGACGATCAACACATTTTGGAACTGGAGTTGAACTCTTTTTGTTTTTGCTCCCACATCATGATGCAAATTGAAACTGCCAACAACAGAACTGGTCCTCTGCGGAGGATCTGAACACGAAGATTAAGACTGCATCTGAATTCAAGCAGTTTATACATCCACATTTGACTTCCTTTATAATCTTTACTGTGAGCATTTCTTTACGTAGTTTAGTCGTGCTGTAAGTAAACAAACACGATATAAATGCTATTTTCTACATTTAAATCTAAAAACATGTGGTTCGAAGTTGAGGTTGAGAGTCAAATAATGATACTTACTTATATATTGGTTGCCAGTGGACCGGTTGTATTTTGCTTGCTAGGTGATCAGAACCAAAGATTATAATATCTGTCTTGTCTGAATTTAGCTGCAGAAAGTTATACGTCATCAGTTAAGCTGCCCAGACAGCTAACATGCTAGTAAGAAGTAAAGGTACTGGTGAGTTTCAGGCATTTCTTTTGTGGTCTTTCAGTAGAATTTTAAACAATCTTAGATTCTATTACCAGTACTGTAGATTTGCTTTTATTGTTTCCTGGAGGAGAAATTTGCTCCATTGACGTAGCAGCACACGTGTACAATCAAACTACACACACAGATCTATAAACACCTGGAAAATTGCACAGAAGCCTCTCTAAAAGCTCACATTAAGTTATTCTGTGTCTTTCTAAGAGTAATGGGAAGTAATAACAAACCCTAATAGTGTATTTTAAGTGCAACCTGAGTACTATTTTGTCTTATTTACCACTGCAATATGTGAAGAAACAACATGGGGACTAATAACACTTTAAAGAGTCACAAGATTTTTGGGTGTATTTTCCTCGTCTTCCCGTGCGTTCAGGTGAAGAGCGTGAACCTCTCGGAGGGCGAGCAGCTGTCCATCAGGGGTGCGGACGAACGAGGCGCCCTGCTGGTCCTGGCCAATCACACGCTGCTGGTTGAAGGTCAGGTGATCCGCAGTCCCACCAACACTCTGTCCGTGTACTACCGCTCCACGCCAGAGGGAAGCATGGGCATCTTCCAGCTGCACTACCAGAGTGAGTACACACATATAAACACGAGCGTACACAAACATGTCAAGACTCAAATATGAATATTTATATATGTAAACACTCTATATAAATTCAATACATGTGAATTCTTCATTAGGGCCTCAGGGGCTGTTTATACTCTGTATACATGTTAATTGCATAATCAAAAATCTTCTCATCTAATCACTTAGTGCGGTGATTGAATCTGTCGTGTGAATTAGCTGATTAGAGGTCTGATTAATTGGCTCTCGTCTCATTAGGAGGCTGAGAATATGGGAGTTTCTATAGAGCAGTGTGTGTTGTTGTGTATGTTTCTGTATGTGTGCACACTCTGCTGTGGCAGCCCATAATGGATATGACGAGCACTGGAAAGGAGGAAGCATCAGAGTGTTAAGACCCACCTGGGCCATTAATCACAGCCATCTAATCCTTTACATCACCGGCAGGTAGGAGAGGAGAACAGAGGAGCGCTGACGGAGATTAAAATACCTTTGCAGAGAGAGATGAGGGATGAAAAACAAAAACAACACAGACCACACACACACACACACGTATATATAAGCTTATTATTATCAACATTATTCAACTATGAGTTATACATATGAGATTCACTCGCCACAACGGACTCCATTAACAAAAGCAGTAATTTTAGCTAGCACACTTCAAACTGGACAAATTAAGTTCACCAATACTGTCTTTGTTAGTCTTTCCAGCAAACAGCAAAGCTGGTTTGGTCAAAATAAACGATAAATTCACACAGTTAGATGTCAAATTATTTGGGTCCAACGTAATCCTTGGGGACAAATGCGCCATCAAAGTACGTCCACTAAAAATTGTCGTTCTTGCTGCTGTCAGACTCAGATTGTTGTTAAGTGTCTGACTACATTATTACAGATATATATATATATATATATATATATGCTATATCACTCGTCACCAGACTCCAGTCGTTGTTGGAAACTATTAGACAGATCTACTTGAAGGAATGGGGGGAGCTGCCGCCGGTTGGTACGACTTCCTGCACCTGCCAGTATTGACAATTTAAGGACTGTGTAACCCCCAATCAGATGGGCCGTGGTTTGGTGCATTAAAGGGAAGCTCTTGATACCCCAACTTCCAACGTCTCTGCTGCCTCTTTAAGCATACTGATGCCTTAAAACTGCAGATTTGAATAGATAGATATACTTTATTGATCCCAAGCTGGGAAATTGCAGTGAATGGTTGTCTGCATGTGTCAGCCTAGAGATTGACTCCAGATCCTCCAGCCTGACAGAATAATCCAGGTAGAAAATTAAATGAGCGCTCCCTAAATTTGTCCTCTTCCTCCCTGGTTCCTCCCTCTGTGCACAGTCTTCAGGCTGAGCTGTTCGCTGCCCAAGAGGCCTCACTTCGGGGAGGTGTCTGTGCTGGACCTGCTCCCTGGGGGCACCGCCCGCTTTCACTGCCACATGGGTCACCACCTGCAGGGGGAGACGCTGCTCACCTGCCTCAACGCCTCCCTGCCAGTGTGGAGCGGCAAGGTGCCCAGCTGCAGGGGTGAGTGTGAGAGCGTCCAGGTCTTTATTCTACGTGGTGTGAATTTACGAATTAGACGACAATGTGATTTTATACACAAACAATCTCACCACAAAGTCCGCTTGGTAGATATTCTGGAAATTTCGATTGTATCATGATCGTCCTCAGCAGAGGGAGGTTCACAATTGTCTGGAAAATGTGGATGTTCAACAAATAATTGTGTTCATTATTGATAAATCTGATTATTCTCTCCATGAAATCGCAGAAAATTGGGAAAAAACATCATCCGAAAGTAAAAAAGGCAGCATAAAAAGCATAAAATCATCAGTTAATCAATTAATCATCAATTAATCGATTGTTTCAGCTCTAGTTTAAATTCCCTTTGTATAAGAAACCTCAACATGTTTATATTCCCAATATACAGTTTACTGTGACTAATTTATCAACATATTAATATTTCTAATATATAAATGAATAAAAGTTAATAAAAGATAATATAATACATTGATAAGTTATATAAAACCATGCATTGTACACAGACTTTGGGACTACATGTTAAGTACAGTGTCGTCTCCTCTGCAGCTCTTTGTGGGGGCACGGTGAAGAATGCTACAGTAGGGAGGGTGCTCTCCCCTTCTCCCCACCACGGGCCTAACGCCACCCAGGACCGCTCCTGCTCCTGGTCTCTGGAGGCCCCCAAGGACCAGAGGCTGCACCTCCACCTGGAGAGACTGGCCTTGGGCCCCACTGACAGGTAGGAGTACCGGTCTTTGTGTTTTTTATGGGATATTTTTACCTTCTTATAGTTTGATCATTTTTACCTTCTTAAGTTTGATCATTTTTAGATATAGAAACAAAAACATGTGACACAAGAAGATTTGCGTATCTTAGAAGACTGGACTATTGCCGTTGGCGGACTCGACCCTGTAGTTCCTCTCAGCTCTATGGAGTGTTTTAGCTTATTTCAGTCCATTGTTTTGTTTTTTACAGCCTGCAATTCCAGCAAAAAATCTTTAAAAATCACCAACTGTACATCAGCAAACAGCAGACACAGTTAGAGATTAGCTGGTGAACATAGTAAAGCATTTAGCAGCTAAAGAGACAGATATTTCCATCAGGAGTTGGTGAAGACCTTAAGCTAAAAGAGAGAGTGAATCACCTGCTAATGTTGCTATTTACTTAACATACAACATCCCTAGCTCCCATATGGTCTAGCGGTTAGGATTCCTGGTTTTCACCCAGGCGGCCCGGGTTCGGGTTCGACTCCCGGTATGGGAACGACTCTTTATGGGTGGCAGTAGCTCAGTGTGTAGGGACTTGGCTTGAGAACGATCGACCACAATATGGAGTGTGGACTGGTAGCTAGATTACCATCTCTCTCCCTGTTGCATGAAAATTAGAATTTCCCCAATAGGGGATTAATAAAGTATGTTTCTTATTTTATCTTGTTGTAATAGGTCACTTCTGCCACTAGGGGGTCTCTCACGTCAAAACAATAACAAAAGACTAAGTTTGGTGACCTTTGAAACGCAGCGTTATCTGAATAAAGCTCTAGAGTTTATACACTCTTTAATTAGAAATATTAAAGCTTTAAAAGATAAGATAATCAATATTAGATAAGATAATCAATATTATTCCTACAGCTCGTTTCTGCTGCCCCCATGTGGTTAAAAACTTCAGTTCATGCAGGTTAAACTTTCAAAAGATTATTTTTTACATTAAATTTATCTCCAAAACATTATTCAGTATCCAATTTTCATAGAGGATTTCCATTTATAGCTTTCTTGCTGGCTACAAGCAGCATTTTTGTCATATCTGTCCTTGTCCTCAGTGTTCCCTCATGGTAGCACATTTGTTTGGAACAGTATATTCAATTACATCGTCCCAGAAAGACTTTACGTTAAAGAGGAGAGTGGTTTTGTAGGATAGCTGACTGTCTGCTTTTGATCTGGGATATTATATAGAATAAAGTTAGAGCCTTAGAAGTTTCTCATCCGTCCCTGCAGGCTGGTGTTGTGGAGCGGGCTGGACGCCGGCTCTGTGGTGCTGTTCGACTCGGGGCGGGGCGGGCAGATACCTTTCGAGGGAGTGATCAGCGAGGGTCCGGCCGTGAGGATCCAGTTCATCACCGACCAGCCCAACCACAACACGGGATTCAACATCCGCTACGAAGGTACTCGAAGCTACTGCAGATCTACATCGCACACAATAATAAAACTTCTGCAGCACGATTTAAAAGGCAGAAGATGTGTTGTTGTATTTCTATAATTAACAGTGTAATTATGTAAACAATAAGAGAGGATTGCAGGGATTCAATATTTTTGCTTACATCGTGCACTGCCAAGATGGTTTTGGCTGGTCGGCCAACATAATCTGAGCTTTTCTGGCAATGTCAGATTGTGGAGGGACGGAAATATCCCTTCGAGCATGTTTATCCTCATCAGTAAAGATAAAAAGAAACCAAAGAATCATCTATTTTGCGAGTGGAAACAAGATTTATGTACAATGTGTGACTGCAGTTCTTTTTTTGTTTGAGGGAGAAGCTTCCAATTATCTTGGCATCAGTTTATGGAAATTACACAGAGGCGTTGCAAAGAGAACGAGACAAAATATTCAAAAAGCCGCATGGTGCGACTTTAATAAGACACATTTTGTTATTAATTTCAAGTCTACTGAGCTTTCTGCATCTCTCATTTCCTCCTCCAGCCTTCGAGCGTGGCCACTGCTACGAGCCGTACCTCCAGAACGGAAACTTCACGACCTCAGACCCGCTGTACGGCGTCGGCGCTGTGGTGCAGTTCACGTGCGACCCGGGTCACGCTCTTGAACAAGGGCCTCCTGTTATCGAGTGCATCAGTGCGAGGGATCCATACTGGAACGACACAGAGCCGCTATGCAAAGGTAATACCGAGGGCCTCATGCAAGAACTTTTTCCTATTTTTATCTTAAACCTTTTTAACTTTATGTCTGTGAGGTTAACTGGTCAAAAAAAGCCAGTTTCAACTTAATGAAGACTAATTTAATCTAAGTAATTTCCCCCTGGGATTATTAAAGTATTTCTGATTCTGATTCTGATTCTGAATTTGTGAGGTGTGAACATCGACATATAAAAGATGGACGTCGTCTCTCTACTTCCTCCCACTGTACAAAAATGAAGCCAAAATATTGCTGCCACCTTTCGCCGAGTCTGCACAGTTGTGATTGGTGTTGGCGCCGCGGTATTGAAATAAACCCAACTGACTCAGTCACCAACCGGGCTCAACTGTCATGTGAAAACCCCTTTTAATACATTCACATAACTAATTAAAACCAAACTTAACAGAAACAATCCTTGGGGAAAATGTATTTGACACAACTTTTATCAATCATAACCACTGATCAGTGAAATAAAGGTCAGCATGATAACATAAGCAAACTCTTCTTGGTTTATTTTACCTACATAAATCACATTACTTCAACTTTGTTTCACTCATATTTTTATAAGGTTGTGTGTTTGTACAGTAATCAGTGAGCTCTGCTAGCTAGCCATGCTGTTAGCTAGCTAGCCTAACTAATGAATCTTCGCTCTGTGTCGCTAAAAGTTAAAAGATTGATGACGGGTGAATGTCAGGATATTATTGGTTGAAATCAGTTAAGTTCATGCTGATGTAAGCACACGTCACATTTTGTTCTAAATGAAGACACAATGATTGGATTCTGATATTAAAATACAAATACATTTAGTTTTTGTCATTTATTTTGGTATAAATTGTTAAATATGGGAACAATACAACCAAAGATGTGATCTTAAAGGGTTAAAATGACATTTTTCTTTTCCCCTGGACTTTAATCTGCCCTCCTGTCTCTCTGCAGCACAGTGTGGAGGCGACCTGACTGGTCCTGGAGGCGTGATTCTGTCTCCGAACTGGCCTGAGTGGTACGGCGAGGGCGAGGACTGCAGCTGGAGGATACACGTCGGGGAGGACAAACGGGTGCTACTGGATGTACAACTGTGAGAAACACACCAACACAGTCAGACTCATAAACATGAAAACTTCAGCTCTGATCTAAAGTTTGGTCCGACCGGGGGAACCGAATGTTATCATTAAAAATGTATGCGGGGAGTTCTGAGTGTGGAGGCTCAGTGAGGGGTCCAGCACCCCGTCTACATGTGCCTATTGATATTTCCCGATTCCTGCTCATGCTGAACCATTAAATTGAAAACTTGGAGAACACGCTGATAAGGCTGCCACTGCAGTTTTCAGCAGACTGTTCTGCCCTTATCTTGATTCTGTACTTTTCACTGGCTCGCTCCAGAGCTGGCCACTTGAATCGGAGCTGGCTTGGATTGAATCTTCTATCGTTTATCCCCCGCAGTCACGCCTCAGAAACTGCCATGTGAACTGAGAATGCAATATTCAAAAACCCAAATGTATGTAGAAGTTTTTATTTATTTCTTCATCTTTCAAATTATTCTGATGGCGTTTTTGCTTCTGTTGACTTCAGTTTATGTCAAAGTGAAAAAATGAGAGATGATGATGGTTGGATTTTCTGCAGAAAAACAAAAGATGGGATGTTTATTTGCGCTCCTGAGGGCCTTCCTTCTCCTTCCCTAGCTAACGTGATCCAACTAATGTTAGCTAGGGAAGTAATTTTACTAACTTATGTATTATGACCAACACAATAAATGATGTAGCAGTACAAAGCTAACTGTAGCTTTCTACTAGCCAAGAGTGATGCGAGGCAGGGACATCCAGCTAGTTAACTGTAGCTAAGCTAAGCTGGGGTTGTCCGGCTGGCTGCGCGGTGTGGGTCTGGCGTTGGTGGCTTTGTGGTGTTGGCTGATGGGCTAGCCTAGTAGCATGGAGCTAATGGTCTAAATAAAATATAGGAACATTGCAGATAGTAACGTTATTCTAAATATGATTATCAGTTATTGTACAGTGTTCAGTTTAGTGTATGTCACTTTTGGCCACTGGCTGACGTTGGACAAAGTGCTTGCTGGGTAACATATCAGCTAGTTGGTTATCACTAGCAAAATACTATCAAAGTGGATATATTAGTTGGCAAAACGTAGCTTCCCCTGCTAGCGTGATTCATGGTACAAACATTTGTATTATGATAAACTGTGTTTGAAATCTTGAAATCAATTAAACGAGATGGTAGAAACACTACCGCTTTTTTCCACAGGGGCCACTAGAGTCAACACAAAATGGAAGTTCCTTGTAGTAGCTTTAAATAACCAGTATTAGGAGAACTTAAAGTATAAGGTCGACAGAGCTTAAATTGGAATTTATGTTTTAAAACGATGCGAAAAATCTATCAAAAAATGTTGATATAAACTATGAAAATACGGGGATATGCAGCTGCTAAGGACTCTATAAAACAAGCACCAACCGACTCACTCATGTATACATAACATATCATTTTCCCTACACTACAGATCTGGAGCCCCTTCATTCGTTTTAATAGTCCAGAATAATATAGTAAATTTACTCCAACAGAGACTATTGTTCCCCACTGTGTATTTTATAGCTCATTCACACAACAGATACTATAAATAATTAATGTAAAATGAAAAAAAAATGTAATGAAAAATGAAGGTAAACCAAGGTGTAATGAGCACAATAACAGAGATTTCAATATCACCAGCCCTTTCCTTTAAATTGTATCTGCTCATTTTACATTAAATGATTTATTTCTATGATATGAAGCAGGTTTGATATGTTTAGCTACACTCCCTTCAAGCACTAATCCAATTACATACTTCAGTCCTTTAGTAGATTTGTGTCGTATCACATTTGCAGATATTTCAATTTTCAAAAACCTTTTTTAAGCTGCATGATTAAGGAGCCTCTGTGGTGTGGTGTAACAAACATCTCTGGGGCAATAAAAACATGGCTGTGTTTACAGACTGTTAAATACTTCGCCCGTGGATGAATGCAGCATTTAGCCTTTTGAGGTCATCTCATCTCCCACACAGTCGGCTGTCGACACGACTGCACTCTGAGTCATCCTAACGTGTCCTGAGCTGATACCACCGGCTCACTCTGACTCCTCTCCTCGTGTCCTCAGACTGAACATCAGCGACAGCGACATGTTGACCATCACTGACGGCGACGAGGTCACGACTCGTATCCTGGGGCGCTACGTCGGGGGGAGCAGCCCCTTCAAGCTCTCCTCCACCACCCCTGACCTGACCGTCACCTTCCACTCCGACCCAGCGGGGCTTGTCTTCGGCAAGGGCGAGGGCTTCATCATCAACTATATGGGTGAGAGTGAAATGAGCAGTTAATGTCTCTACTAACAAGTATTGTAAGTGTATGAAACCCTGATATATCTTCCTTCTCTGTGCCATAGAGCAGTGGTTCCCCACTAGGGGTCGCCAAAGCAAAGTGTTTTAAGGCCTATGTCTGAGTTATTTTTATTATTTTTAAGTTTACATTTTTATTTAAGATCTAAACTTTGAAGACCTGAAAATAAGTTATATTTACAGAGCCGTCCTGCGTTGAAAAAACAACCAAAAAGCTGTTAGAACAATGGCCAGGCGTCAAGAAAACACAGAATTTGTGAAAGAACAAGCCTATAAAATCTGTATGATTGTTAGATAATAAAAGAAAATACATAATACAGACAATGAATTGTATAAAAAGTTCCTAAAAATATCAGGAAAACTCATTTCTTAACAATTTTTACAGTAAATAATCCGCTCAAAATTCACCCAAATCACACGTTTTACACAAACTTCCTGCAGATATTAAAGCGGCTGTCCAGCGAAGGATAAACACCCTGTTATAAACAGCGACATGTAAGACTTTTTATTGTATATTAGTTCACCCAAAAATCGGCCAGTAGTGTTTGCACATCGTCACTTAAAGTGTATCCACACCGTTCACAGAGAGTCCGCTGGAGCTTTTACAGTCACTAGAAGCACATTCATGCTTCTAGTGTAGCTAATGTAGCAAAATACAGTCAGCTAGCTTCATCCAGACCCCGGGGCTGATCTGGCTAGCTTGCCGTTTGCAGGTTATTCTGTTCAGATGGCGTTACGTTAATTCCCTACGTTTCCACATGAAAACGCACTTTGTTAAGTTACGTAGGTTAAGTCAACTTATGTACTTAAGTTACGTCATGTAGGTTATATTTGTGTAAGTTGTGATCTTTTCCTGAGTATTTTTTTGTGGCTAACTAAAGTGTGACCGCTTTACAACATCAGCCACACATGCTTTATTTTGAAACTGCAAGCGGACGTTGTTTAACGTATTTACTGTTGCTAACTTCGGAGTCCTGCGTGTCCAGAAATGATGCTAAAGGGGAACCTGCAACTTCATATTTTGTGACATTTGATAAAAACTACCAAGATTAAGAATGATATATATATATATATATATATATATCTGTGGGCCTGGAGAGCCACAGACAGGAAGTACTGAGAGACACATTGATGGTTTTGGTCTTTTCATGGAACTTTTCTTTTTGTTTTGTAAGAAAGTTGTAAAATAACACCTTGCCTTATCCTGTAAACTTACACTTTCATTCAGTTTTGCCATTCGTTTTAATTTAGCCTTTTCTCCTCAAGCTGCCGACTCCATTTTTCATCTCCCCTCTTTTTCTCTCCTCTCATCTCTATTTGTCTTTTCCTTTCATTTCCCTCTGCCCTTATTCAATCACATCCTATTTGTTTCACCATCTCACAATGGCTCTCGTGCACACACAAACCCAGGATTTAACAAGCAGCCAAATAAGCTCACTTCCTCCTTTTATACACAAAGTAATCTGCACTGCTTCCCGTATCCAACACCTGACTCCAATTTAGAAATCGCACCGAGACACACGCCGTCCAATTTACTCGTCACCAGCTCGACACCCCAAACTCACACACGTGTCCCAGAGGAGTAAATCAAGTAGACCCAGCATGAATACGTAGGCTACTCTCTTTGATTATAACTGTGTGTGCATGACTGTGTGTGTGTGTGTGTGTGTGTGTGTTCAGAATAAATTACACATTCAGGCTGCACAGAGGAGGAGAAGCAAGTCAATAGAGAATGAATAATTGATCCCAGATCCTTCAACTTACAAATCCCTGTAGGCCTATTATATTGTACAGTGTAATGCAATACTGTACGCTGCTCGATCAATCAAGTTTACATATGCACACACACACACTTGTCCCAACAGGAGGCAACTTATTTATATATATCTCTCTAGGCTGCGATGAGTTTTAAACATTTTATTAATGTTCTGTGTTGTTGTTCTTGGCATGAGCGAGTACTGGAGGTTTTGTTTCATTCTTCCTTTATTCTAGCCGGTTATACACTTGAGATGTCAGAATCCACAGAGCAAAAAACAGCAAAAACAAACTAAAATGAAAACCGTCTGTGGAGGCACATAACACAACTTAACAGAAGTAAGTTAACACAATTAAATCCTCCAGTCACTCATTCACATGAATTAAACTCAGAAATGAATTGTTGAAGCAACTGAACTTTAATGTGTTCAGTATTTTAAATACAGGCGATGTAATTCCAGTTTGTTCCACTGACTGATTTTATTGACTTTATATCATTATAACAGTGTAAGCATCAAAAGCCCAAGTATGCATCCAAATAATACCCAAATAAGAAAATTAATAGAAAATTAATTGACTTCTATTTTGATACTCAATTAGTTATAAATTGTTTGGTTTCATACATCAGCTGTTTTATCGGGTAATTTAATAAGTCTATAAGCTTTAGTGGAAGAAAACTAACTAAACTAAATTCAACATTTGTATAAAGAAGATGCATTTAAGTGACTTTATTCATAGAAATTCTGTTCACACATTTTGAGTAAGTTTGCTGCATATAAGTGTAACAATGAATACTTCTACTTAAATCAAATATCTTTCATGCTTAAATTGTTTGAGTTAATAAACATAAATGATTGAAGGTTTCTTCAAGTTCAACTAACTCATCAGTTTTTACTCAGTAACTTTCCTGGACAACAAACAGCTCTTTTTAAGAAATCATCAAGAGATTCAGGACATTATTTCAGAAACCTGAACTGTAAGTTTAACTCAAACTGTTAAAGTTGAACTGACTCATTAACTTATTAACAGCAACAATTTAATCATAAAAAATATATATATTTGAATATTTTGAATATTTGATTTAAGTACAAGTAACTCATTAAATGTTACTGCTAAAGCAAATTATTATATTACTTGTTAATTAATCGATTATCAAAATGGTATCCAATTAATTTGGGGGCTTATATTTTGTAATGATATAAATTCAACCTAAAGAAAATGAGTCAATGGAACAAACTGGAATTATATCACCAATATTTAAAAAACAAACAAATTTAAATTCACTCAAAAGAGTTTTTTACTTCAGCAATTTATTTTTGAGTTGGGTTTAAGTTAGTCAGTTAGGATTTACAGTTTAGGTCTAACAGTGACTTTAACTCAAGTCTCATTCGTCCTTTTTTTACGATGAAGTGGCTCAGGGCCGAAATGAAAAGTGAGCGTTTGAAACATTTTCCCGTTGTGCTTCACATCTGGTTAACCCACATTCAGGTGTCACACTGTGCAGCTACCAACAGTCAAACCAGGTTTGTTGTAGGAGATCTGAGTGAGGGGCTAAAATACAATCAACATTCTTCAGGACACCACAGATTATTTTCAGGATATTTGGATTTTAATCAGTTTCAAGGTGTTTGCATGACTGGAAAACTAGTCTCAAAATGTCCATGTTTTCGCGGGCTTGAAGGAACACTGCACTGAGTGACTAGCAGTTCTAGGAGTACATCAAGGTTTAAAATCTAATTGTTAATAGTACTTATGGTGCTTATAATGATCTATTTTACTAGTGTTTGACTACCAGTTCACCAAACACCAAACTTGGTTCTTTTATTTTGTACATTTATGGAAATGAAAAACTTTTTCATCACGCTGACACGACTTAAGATTTGAGCTCCTTGATTGATCTGAAGGGAGGGTTTTAAATATATTTGTCTGGAAGCTCCATTGATTTAAGATAACATAGCAAGAAAGTTTGAGCTGGTCACTTTAATTCTGAGATCAGAGGAATTCTTGATTGAAAAAGATCTTCAGAACGATCAAGAGACTGTTGGTCCGAGCCTCCTGCTGTTTCTGTCTGTGTAATCAGTGCATGCTGCTGTGTGAGGTCTCCTCAGATACAGCATGCAAATGTGCCTTACAGATCAATCGGGGCAAAACATTAATTCATTCCTTGTATGCTTTTTTTTGGTGCCAATGCAAAACCACAACATTTGGAAAAACAGCCTCTTTAAAGTTGCTCTAATTAATATTTCTGGGTCTAATGAGTACGTGTAATGTACAGTAAGAGGTGTTGCTCATTGAGACAAACCCACTGAACCCCAGAATTGAGCATTTTAGTGTCTTTTGGCTCATTGTTTTGGTTGCCCTCATCACTCTCATATTGGCATTTACGTTACGTACGTTTTTATTAACTGGAACTGAAACGTTTTCCTAACCTTAAACCTACAGTGACTGACCATTTTGGCCACTTGGAGGCAGCCTGTATGTATATATAATGTAAAATATGTAATATAAAGTCCAGTATTCACTCTCTTTTAGCTCTGTTTTTGGTCTCTACCAACTCTTGAGGGAAATATCCACCATGTTCACCAGGTAGTCTCTGACTGTAACAGCACTTCCATCCAAATGTTTCGCGATTTACACATTTTAAAATGTCCAGAATTCTGGACATTTTAAAATGTGTAAATCGCGAAACAAACAAAAGAATATCTGAATAATAACCTGTAGGTGGCCCAACCTCCTGTTGGAAAACCAGAAGAAGAGGGCACAACAACCTGACGTAATTAAACGAGTAAAAAAAAGTAAGAATACAGGATGGAAATGTGAAATGTGACCAGTTGTCCATTTAGAGTCAATTAGACGATAAAGCAGGATATGCTTTGTGCTTGTGATGGACCACATCGTGTCCTCAGGGTTCTCAGTCAAAGCAATGGTCTCTTCTGGCTCTGAAAAACCAACATTACGACGGCCATAATGCCAAACTTGAGGTTTCAAAATGGTACTTAAACACAAACCAATGGATCACGTCACAGTGGCCTATCCCTATTTATTATAGAGTCTATGGTTAATAGGCAACTGTGGGCTAGCAAACACAACTTTATAAGCCCATAATATGTAAAGTATAAGAATTTAAGTAACGTTTTTAATAATAATAATTAAAACGACAAAAAATAATTACAAAAACCTGAGTATGAAAGGTCATTCTTAATAGAATAGAGGTACAGTATATAATCTCAGGCTTTCAACTGCATCTCATGGTCTTCATCAGTGGCGTGCCATATTCAGATCACATGAAATGGGTTTCCATTTGCTGATGAGGTGATGTGGTTGAAAGCTCTGGAAAAGGCTAATAAGTGGACATTGAGTTACAAAGAAAATCACATAACAGCAAAAAACGTGTTTTCCTGTGACAGATAACTGGCAGCTTGTGATAATTTAACCAAAGACTGTTTCAGTGGGAGTCTGAATTAAAGCCGACTGAGTTCAGAGTGGAATCACAGCAGAGACGATATTTGAAGACTGTCCAACGCAGACGACATCCATCATTCTGTCACACGGTCAAGTAATCGCGCAATAAATCCATCAATCTTCGGGGGTGCGACGGATTCTTCCTCAGTGCCAGTATCACGTCAAAATCAGATGTACTGTTGTTTATCTTGTTGTCTTCTTGACCCCGCTGTGAAAGAGAAAACGGTGGACCAGGAGCAATAACACCGTCCTAATGGAGCCATTAATCAGCCTTTCTTTGTTGTTTGTTTTATCAGAGGTGTCCCGAAACGACTCCTGTCCCGACCTGCCTGAGATCCAGAACGGCTGGAAGACGATATCCCACATTGCACTAGTGCGAGGGGCTCGAATCACCTACCAGTGTGACCCCGGTTACGACCTGGTGGGACGAGAGACCCTCACCTGTCAGCTGGACCTCTCCTGGAGCTCGCAGCCCCCGTTCTGTGAAAAGAGTCAGTTCATCTCTTATTTAAACATCTACTGTACTTGTGTGTGTGTGTACCTGTTATTGTTTACTGTTTATAGGAATCCTTGTAACTTGTGTTCACCTGGGAAATATGGTATGAATTTACCTAATCAGAATTAGAATTAGAAATACTTTATTGATCCCCGGGGGTAAATTTGTTTATTACAGTTGTTCCATTCACACAAGGTTAAAGACTAGTACTTACATACAATATCTAATACAATACATAGAATACAAATGAATGTATAGGTATATACATAATATACAAAAGTGAAAATAAAAATGAAAAATAGAATTATAATAAGAGCCTAAGACATATAATAAGATAATAAGAGCCTATATACAAAGTAAATGTAAATGTAAACATATTCCACAGTATGTGCTGACAGAAATTAAATAAATAGTAATGAGTTTTAAGATTGTGGTATTGCAGAAGTTATAGATAAATACAAAGAATGACTATATCTATATATCTATTGGCTGGCAAATAGACTATAAATGTAACAATACTTTAAATCTAACTCTTCTTTCAACTGATTATCAATATATGAAATACTGATTGTGTAAATGTGCTTTATATCATAATATTCCTGTTATCTTTTTCTTCAGTCATGTACTGCTCAGATCCTGGCCACGTGGAGCACTCCACCAGGTCTCTGTCCGACCCTAAACTCTTGGTGGGGACGACCATTCAGTACAGCTGCAACCCCGGCTTCATCCTGCAGGGCGGCGCCACCATCACCTGCTATGGCCGTGAACCGGGGACCCCTGTGTGGACATCTCGCCTCCCTCACTGTGTTTGTGAGTATCACTGTCAAAAAATCTGTAATTTTACTGGTTTATAACTGTTTATGTAAAATAAACAGTTATAAAGATTTAATACATAAAAAATATTAATGAAATTACAGAAATAGCCTAACAACATGTCTAATGTAAATTAATAATAAAATAAATGATCATAAAATTACTAATTAATTAAAGAAAGTTTCACATAAAAATATCTTTTTTTATTTTTTCGCAGATATTTATTGTTTATTGAATAGATTAAACTGTTAAATTCAAGTTTGATACTGTTAAAATTACATAAAATTAGTGACAATTAGACAGTAAAATTAGTATTTGTTCTGTTATTTTTTGGTTGTTTTTTACAGTGTTTTAGAAAGACGCTCTTGAGTGCAAAAAGAAGACAAAATGAGAGTAAAATACAGTAGTTACCGGTATTTTATCAAACTTGGGGCTGAAAGGGGTCCTGTGGTTTACCGGTAATTTGTCAGGCCTTTGATTTCAGAAAGCCTGTCTATTCAGGGAGTAGACAGTTAGGACTGGGAAAGATGAAGGGGAGGCTCTTTCCTGTGGCTGTTGCAATGCGTAACATGGAGGTGGAGTTTGTGGTTTGAATTTCTGGCTTCCGTCTCATCCGCTGACACAGATTCACAGGTCTCTGCATGCAGAGACGACGCCTTCATCTCCTGCATTTTTATCTTACGGCTGACAATGTATGTGTGTGTGTGTGTGTGTGTGTGTGTGTGTGTGTGTGTGTGTTTTCAGGGATATTAATGTTTGTGTGGAGTGTTTGATATGTAAATGCAATGCTAATGTACCGTACCAATCAGCCCTCAGCCACCTGGAGGAGGGGGTGGAGATTATCCATGAGTCATGTCACCTCAGCCAGAGCGCTGTCAGATCTGTCAGTCGAGCTCTGACGCAAAAACCTCTGATTCGTGTTGAGAAACTCAACAGGATCCATCCAGCTCTATTTCTTTTCTTTCTTCTTCCCTCCCATTCAGCTGAGGATTCGGTTTCCTGTGAAAACCCCGGTCTCCCTGACAACGGCTACCAGATCCTGTCCAAGAGGCTTTACCTGCCCGGTGAATCACTCACCTTTGTCTGTTACCAAGGCTACGAGCTCATTGGAGAGGTTGCAATTAAATGCATCCTCGGAAACCCGTCCTTCTGGAGCGGCCCACTCCCGCTGTGCAGGGGTGAGACTTCAGCAGAATTTATTTTAATTTAAAGTGTGTGTGTTTGTGGAATGAAACACTCCCTTGTTCTATATTTACCTTTGGATTTATGCATGCACACAATATTTCTTCTAAGAATTTCTTTGCCCCATGCTTGTTGGTACAGACTGATCCTGCCCCGATGCATGCTAATGACCGTTTGCTAAACTCCAATCGTCCAATCATAGTTTCCAAAACCAAAACTTACAACAGTGAAATTGTGAGGAATTGATTAAACTGTGTGTGTTTTTACTCTAATAGGAGCTGGAAATGTTAGCAATGTCCAGATAAGCATTACTTCTAAGACCAAGTACAGGTGAAACAGAAATCAGAGAGC